AAATTATTCAAAATGTATTTCAAGTTTTTATACTATCTGGCCTCTATCTATCTATCTCTATCTATCTATCTATCTATCTATCCTTATCTATCCATCTATCTTCACACACACATACCTGTACAGAATGCTAGGGCTTCTATAGCAATGAGCCACAGTCTAGTAGCTTAAACAACAAAAATTTATTTTCTCATAGTTCTGAAGGCTGGAAGTCCAAGATCAAGTGTGTGGCAGGGTTAGTTTCTTCTGGGGCCTCTCCATGCCTGGTGACTGGATACCTTCTTCTATGTCCTAATCTGGTCCTTCCTGTGTACAAGTATGTGTCGTAATTTCATCTTCTTTGGGGGAAACGGTTTGTCCCATAACAACCTCCCTGACTTCACCTTTTACCACCAACTCTCCCCACCATATTTCTTCCACTGAAGCCTCAAGGTTTCTTTGCTGTTCTTACAAAAGTTCAGATTCATTCATTCCTACCACAGGAGCTCTACCCTATTCTATATCTTCTCCCCCAAATAGTTGCAAGTCCTCCTCCTTTATTTCCTTCATAAGGTCACTTTTTCAGGCCTCTCCTGATCACCCTAAACATAATATCAAGTCTCTAAGCTCCTGGCTATGCACGTTCTCTATCTCCCCTTACTCTGTTTAATTTTCTCCATTGCTCATATCATTACATAACACACTATATTTTCTTATTTAGATGCTTGGGGTTTTTAAAATGTCTTTCAACTTAGTAGGCATTCATTAAACATGTGGATACAGAGAATGATCATTTGTGGAAAGCAGTACATCCAAAGTTCGACATCATGAGGGATTCACCAACCAGTCTCATAAAAAGTTTAGAAAATCAGATGTTCAGCTTTGAGAAGAAAAGAAAAACCTAGGGCAATATTGGCTAACTGCCTTTCCACTTCTAAAGGAGTGCCCGACGGGTGAAAGTATAGTCACTCTTTGCATTTAGTGTCACCCCACATGACAGCATTGGAACTTAAGGATAGAAGCAAAGAGAAGGTAAATTTTAGTTCAATCTAACGACAAAAGCATTCCAGTAAAATGCTGTGTCCTGAACTGGCTCCCGACAACAGAAACTAAGGAAGTAGCAGCCAGATGATTGTCTCAAACACACTGCAAAATGACACCTGCTTTTGCGGTTCTAATTCCAAAATTCTAGAAAGATAGCCAGATTTTTGTCTATAAAGTACATCTGGTCTTTATGCCCCACTGTTTTTATGACTAGGGTCTGGTGAGATTGACAGGTTTGGGAATCACCACAAGGTGAAGTGAGATTGGGAAATCTGAGAGACTAAGGCCAACCTCTGCCGATAATTGTGGTCAATATGAGATATGCCACTTCTCCGGGTCTCTGGTAAGTCCTCATCAGTTAGAACCTCAGCCTAAGTGACCACTTCAGTTCTAAACATTCTAATTCTAAATTCTTTCTCAAGTCGCAGAAACGAGAAGACAGTGATTAAAGAAAGGTTCCAGGCCATCATGGAGTCTGTAGGAGGTGCACTGACATGTTCCGATTAAGGAGAATCAAGCTGAATCAAATGCCTCCTTATCGCCGAAGTTCAGAAACAAGAGGAAAAAGTCTTCTGAGCCAGGCATCCAAGTGTGATGGGCTTGAAAAATCAGGATGAAAAACTATTTACTCACAGAGTTATTAGGACATGTGATACCGCAACTGCTCACTTCTGAGAAGCAGTACAGCTCTAAGCCGCTCTGTGCTTTGGTTGGTGGAGAGTAAATCTCACACTGCAAGATCATCACTAAAGACGAATTCCAGAAACAAGTGGGCCCATGAATGATTGCACATCACTGCTGGTCTGGGCTTCTTCACTGGGGTTAATACACCTTTCACATTGGATGTTTTCAAGGTGTTGGATTACTGAGACCAACAGGATAGTATTAAATACCTGAGTTATTTCAGCAAGGTTTCTAATAGGTTAGTGGGTCTTTTTCTAGGCACAGGTTGCTTATGGCTTTGGGAGCTGTTTAGAGATTTGGGTGGAAAAGCATCAAACAATATTGATAGAACCCAATTTAAAAAAAAAAAATCCAGGAGCTCCTATGTAACTGAGGATGCAGTGGTACCATTGACATTCAGAAAACTACGGTCAAAAAAAAAATTATGTTATATTTGATATTTCACATTGTTTAAGCCTGGGTTATTGCTAGGGCTCTAGAACTATGTGAAAACCAGGATTTGTGTTTCCACGGTTTTCCTTGCTTATTTTATTCTCCCCCTGAGAGAGGAAATGGGCCTGTTGGTCAGTACCTCTTACCAGGCTTCACAAACTCAGCAGAGCAATGTGATTATTTGCACCTTGGCTCTAAGAGGTTTAGATAACAGAATCTGTTTTCACTGACAGTTGGAAAACAGAAATGACAACATTCCTTTTCAGACTTGGCTCCATAAACCTTTTCCGTAGTTTTCTTTTTGTCACAATAATGAGGGCTGACAGGGCTGCTTGACACTGTTAGTGGTAAATGAATTTTTCAATAAGGACTAACAGAGAAAAACCATGGAAATTCAGATTTATTTTTTGACACAGAGAGTTGTATTTCTCACTATGCCCTTGCTTTCCATGTATACTTCATGAGAAATTTCAGTAAAAAGCACCTCTCAGGGTTGATCCCACAGCTGTCTGCCTTATTTCTCCTCCTGGAACTCTTTACCTCTCTTCACAGGGTCCTCAGCCCCTTCCTGAGGGTCTCTCCCCTGCATAATTAAAGGCAAGACAGTGAACTCTAGTCCTATCCTCGGGCTTATCTTTGTAAACTTAACAATACTTCCTCTTTTTCCTCACATGAAAATTTAAAAAGAAAAGTCTCCATTGTGAGTTGAATTCTGTCTCCTTTCTCTCCCTGAGAAGGAGCTGGTCATACACTGGCACATTAGTACAAAAAATATTCAAAGACTCTGATCCACTATCTTCCATATAACACACAATTTAACTCCCACTTTAAACTTCCAAAATGCTTTTTATGGCATGCCATGCCCTACTTTAAAATATCTGTCAGCCTAATATTTCTATATTCTTCCTCTAATTTATCTTCAAGGTCATGCATGCAAACACCTTTTAGTAGAAAGAACCCATTTGCTTTGATTAAAAATGTGCACTAAAAACGTTTATTTCTATACAGGTCTAAAAAAAAAAAATCTAAGCGTCCCATTAAAATGCTTCCAACGCAGAGTTCCCTAACACTTGTTTTGTGTCACCATAGTCCTAGGAGTTGACACAGTAAACAAAACAAACTGGAAAGGAGGGGATGCTTCATACTAAGACTATCATCTTTAAAATTCGAAACACATCTTAGCATTTAAAGGGTAATAAGCATTCTAAAATAAAGACATTTGTTTAATGTATTTGGCTGTATTTTGCAAACTCGATTACAGAACTCCTTTCACGTATGCATTTAACACCTTAGTACCACATTGCAGAATTAGGGTTCCATAGTACACGATTTTGGAAATTATGCTAGGATGTTATTTTTCACTTCTCAAAAATTCTTATTCTAATGTATCTATGCATTGGAAAATAACCTTGATATGAAAATGTAAATCAGATCTCTCTCACATCATATTTACAGAATAGAATGGTTAATTTTATGTGTCAACTTGACTGGATTAAGAAGATGCCCAGATAGCTGGGAAAACATTATTTCTAAGTGTATTATAAGGCTGCTTTTGAAAGACATTAGCACAAGATCCACCCTCAACAATGGGTGGGCATTATTACGCCAGTGAAGGTGGGAATCGGACAAAAAGGCAGAGGAAGAGCAGATTCTCTCTCTTTTCCTGGAGCTGGAACATCCATCTTCTCTGTCATTGGACATCAGAACTCCAGGATCTCAAGCCTCCAGACTCTGGGACTTCAATCAACAGTCACCCCAGTCCTCAGGCTCTTAGATTCTGAATTATAACCCTGGCTCCCCTGGTTCTCCAGCTGGAAGAAGGCATATTGTGGGATTTGGCCTCCAAAATCTCTGCACCAAATCCACACACACACAAACACACACACACACACACATATATATATACACCTAAGGTTTTTTATATATATATATATATATATATATATATATATATATATATATATAAAATATTGCTTCTGTTTCTCTGCAGAATCCTAACTAATACACACGGGTATTTATAATTCATTTCCCAATTCCTATTCAAATCTCCCATTACCTATTGGGTTCTTAAAAGTCAGCACAAAACATATCTGCTTATTTGTAATGTTGTGTTGTTGACTTCCACTGAGTAGTTTTCAACACATTCATTGGGGATAAATCATCAGTTGTGACAAACAATGCCCACGGGCATATTTCCAATATTCATCCATGGTTCATCTTCCCTTGAAAATGTATACATCATACTGGAGTTACTTTCTGTAGTTATGTATTTCTGATTCCTAAATACAAGCTAAATATTGAATTTATTATTTCTTTCTTTTTAAAAAAAGTTTAAAATCACCTTTTCTCCTTTGTAATTCAGCATACTAATTAGAGGTGTTCAGGTGAGACAGAACTGAGTACAAATCCTCCCCCTTTACTGCCTGATTAAACTTATGTCACTTCATTTGCAACACAGAATGTTAACCCCCAACACAACTCAGTGAGTATTCATTCAGTCAATGAAATCTGTCTGCACACAGTCATCCTTTGGGCTTCTTATTAGTAGTTTCCACCATGATTTTTTTGAACAAACTTTTTGCTGATTGCCTCTCTAGTTATACCAGAAATCTCTGGCATGTTCTTCTTTCTGTTCTTCTTGATTCCTATTTTCTTATCCTTTAAATCTCCCAATATAGTCCCCACTGGCAAAGCCTATCCAGAAAATGTTAAAATATGTCAGTCCATGATTGAAACATGCAGTGAGTAGCTGCCCACAGTTATCCAACCTAGGAATCGCCACCATTCCCCCATCTGATCTAAATTTTTCACCTATTTTAACATTAACAGCCCCCCCCCCCACCCCACCAGCTAATTCCACTTACCTCTCCCGTTAAAACACTCTTGGTGTTTTTGCCTGGTCTCTCCTTAGAACATACTTCTTTTCCCCTTTCTCCTTTCTTTATGGTTGCTATTAAATTCCCTGGCAAAAACAAAACACAAACCAAATAAGCAAAGAGACCTCTTGATGTCCCTCACTGACCTTTCCCAATGCTACAGGTCGGTAAACTAATTTTCCTTTGATGATCTCATACACATGTGTACAAATACTTTACACCACATTATACTTTCTAATGTACTTTTTTATTATCCCTTTTTATCTTCCCAGATATGTTTCTCACATAAACATAAGTTGTTTAAGGAAAGTGTGAATATATGAGGTTTTTTTTTATCCTACCTATAAACATTTTTGATGGGTTTCCCAATAATAAACATTTCCATTTCCCATGGCTATATTTATTTTAGCTGGAATAAATCATACATAGGACAGAAAAAGTGTTGATTAAGGGATATAGTAAAATTGGGTGTTTTGCTCAGAGACAAAGTTGTGCATTGAATGACTCTGGTGCTATGTTTACTTGTGACTGGTTTGTGAAATTTGTTTTGTCATTCAGGATATTGGTTATTTAAACGATGTGTTCCAGAATACTCAGATGTCGGCCTATAATCTTCTCTTTTATCTTGGGCTTAGGTAACACTTTTCTGGCTCTAACCTCCACTTGGATTTTGAAAACTGAGTTACTCATCAACATCTTTAGGACTTCTCTGTCCATGAAGAAATTATGAAGGATGATCCCCAGGTATAATTTGTGCAGAGATAAAGAGATCTAGTTCCCTGAGCAAAACATGCCCTTGGCTTCCATGTCTGTCACCAGGGCTCCAGGGCCCAACAATTCTGAGAGCTGGGGCTTCTTGCAGCTGCTCTAGGTGTGGCTCTCCTTGACCATGTGTTGTGGTCTTCCAATCGGTATGTCCAGCTGAAAGTAATCTTCTCAGCACCCCTGGCAAGCGGCCTTATCCAGCACAGTGCCATTTGTAAACAGGATGCATATCTTTCACATACCAGGCACACACCCTTGGGTGTGTCAGGGTTTTACCTAATTCTCAGTGTAGTAGTCCTAGCTCCATCCGTTCTCTCCCAGTCAAGAGAGTGTATTGAAACACAAGTAAGAATATGCTGATGGTAAATTGAGTCTTCTCTCGTTTATATCAGAACTAAACTACTCACGAATTTGGAATATGAACAAAATACCTTTTTTTTTTTTTGCTTAGGAATTCACCTAAACTAAGGTAACACCGGGTTGAGAGTCACTGCACTATCTGGCAGCCACTGGCAAAGTCAGTGGAAGGTCATGGTGAAATGTTTCTTTCTCAAGAAAAGAGAATTGGTTTCTATGGCAAACCAGACCTCGTGCTAGGTGCCTTCTCAATTCATCACCGAAACACCTAAGGGAAGCATTTGTCAAAACTCAGGCTCTGAGAGTTTCCATAACTCTTTCCCAAGTTAATGTGTAATGGTCAGGTTTTCCCTTTTTCCATCTTGGCATACCACTGCCCAGTTATCCAAAGTGCTCTAAGGAAGGGAATCCATACAATGCTCACATGGCTCCATTACATCTTCCTGCTACTGGACTGATTTTCATATTCCCCACCTCTGAGGTTGGTAAGTACAACCTCTTTCTTTTTCCTCTCTTGTTCTTTCCTTTTATTCCATAAAACCCAAGAATGTTTTTTCACATCAGTCCTACAACAACCTAGGGATTGCCACCATTCCCCAAACAAGTTATATAAGCCAACTGCCAGTAGTGATCCCTAGTTAAACATTTAGTTCTGTTGTTCTATGGAGTTACTACTGAAATATCTAAGCCTATTTATAAAATGTGACTTATTTGATCTGAAATCTGTTTAAAGTAGTTTTGTATACTGATGGTAAATAATTAATTTTGAAATTATTGTATTGTCTGAAAATATATGAATACTTCATGGATGTACTCCCACAAAGCAAAGATCCATAAATGAGGTAGTAACTTAAGAAAAAGTGTAAGTAAAATGTCACATCCCCTGTTTACATGCAGATCTATTAGATAAATATGGTTAAATGGAGGTATGTTAACAATAATTATTAATTAATTAATTAATTTATTTATTTATTTTGCTACCAGGGATTGAATCCAAGGGTACTTAACCACTGAGCCACATCTCTAGCCCTTTTTATTTTTTTAAGACAGGCTCTTACCAGGTTGCTTACAGCCTTGCTGAGTTGCTGAGTTTGCTTCAAACATGCAATCCTCCTGCCTCAGCCTCCTGAGCTCCTGGGATTACAGGAATTAATTTTAACATTTCTTGTGGCTGCTCATTAAAAAAGAAAGAAAAAATAAATATAACTTACTTTGCAAAAACACAGTGCACGTCATTAGGAAAAGGAGTTTGTACCTCAAACTTTGAATACTGTTCATGATTCAGACTTAGGTAGTTGTGAGAGGCTAAAGAAATTAACAATGGCTTGTCTTAGAGGCAGAAAGGGATAAGCGAGAATGCAACTAAGGATCTGTTTCTGATCACAAAGAGGAATCGGGATGAGGTTCTGGAAGGGAAGACAATTTCTAAGAAGCATATGAAACTGTCAAATACATCCCGATGTCTGTCATTATAGATAACTCCCAGCAAAGTAGCACCTCCATAGAGGGTGTGGTAGTTCCCAACACTGGAGTGGCTAACTAATTCAAATATTCAACCAGGAGGCAGTTATTTAAAAAGCATTCTGATTTCAAAAAGACATGGATAAAAGTTGGAAAGAACCCACTTCCAAGGATGGATGTGAGGGTAGCTTAAAGTGTGAGAATAATTTTAGGGGTTCTTCTGTTACAGATTGAACTGTATTCCCTCAAAATTCATATGTAGAATCCCTAACCCTCAGTATGTCAGGATGTGACTGTATTTGGAGAAATGTTAGAGTCTGTAAACAAGTCAAAATAACACCTGGCATTTAGCCAGGGGAATGTTAGAGTTCATAAACAAGTCTGGATGGTGCCTGGCAAAATGCCAGAGGGAGTGGTTTGAGAAGTAACAAAAGTGAGCCATTAAGTGTAGAGATTCCTTATTGGTTGACTGATGTATCTAGTTTATGCTAATTAGATAAGCTCTGTGGAATGTATAAATACTGCTCCTGTCCTGCAATAAACGGCTCCCACTCCTGCTGTATCAATGTACACAAGTTGTTCATCACCCCCAGGTTATTTTGCTGCAGCCGGACTGCGGCAGAGAAAGGTCCTTGAAACAGCTAATTAAGTTAAAATTAGATAATTATGGTGGGCTCTAATATAACATGACTAGTATTCTTATAAGAAAATTTGAAAACACCATGACAGCAGGTATGCAAAGATGGAGTGATGATTATGCAAAGAAAGAGTAAGTTGTTCATCTGCAAGACAGGCCTCTGAGGAGTCCAACCATGCCTGCACTTTGATCTTGGACTTCTCTAAAATTGTGAGAAATTGAATTTCTGTTCTTGAAAACTACCCAGTCTGGCATTTTGTTATGGCAGCTCTAGCAAACTAATACAGATTTTAAATGTCAATACAAGTTTAAGCTTTGATAACATTTTCTAAGGGAAAAATGTAAAAGGCCATTTTATTTATTTTCAGAGTCTGGTAGTCATGTTAAGGGCAAGCCAGCTTCGTGGAGAACAGGATGCCATCTTCATAGGCAGACCTTCATAGGCAGACCTCTTCAATTTCTATTATTTTCTGTTCAGCTGAATGATCTTCCAACTGAAAATGGCAGTAGAACATTGATCATTGGTTAAAAAAAAAATCATCAAAGATTAGTAACTGGATTTATAGAGTGTTACAGTTTGTATCTGGAATATTCCCCAAAGTGTCATGTTTTGAAGGCATAGTCCCCAGTGCAACAATGTTCAGAGGTGGGGTTTTAGGAGATGATTGGATTAATTATTTGAATGGATGAATGGGAGATGGTGAAAGCCCCAGGCAGGGCAGGGATAGAGGAAGTAGGTCAGTGGGAGCATGCCCTTGGAGACTATCTTGTCTCTGGTCCCTTTGTTTCTCTGTTTCCTAGCTACCATGAGCTGAGCATTTTCCTTCTGCCATACTCTTCTGCCTCACCTCAGGACCCTGGCAATGGAGCCAGTTCACCATGGACTGAAACCTCTGAAATCGTGAACCAAAATAAACCCTTTCCCCGACAAGTTGTTTGTGTCATGTATTTTTGTCCTATTTATTCTAATGTGGACCAAATTCTTATGTTGCAGTTCTAACGTCTCCAAAACCTCAAAATATGACTGTGTTTGGAAATAGGGTCTTTAAAGGGGTAAGTAAGTTAATGAGGTCATCATCGTGGCTTAATTCACTAAAACTGGCATCCTTTAAAAGAGGAAATTTGGACACAGACACACACAAAGAGAAGATCTGAGGACACAGGGAGAAAATGGCCATCCATAAATCAAGGAGCCAGGCCTCAGAAGAAACCAAACCTACTGATACCTTGATCTTGGACTTCCAGTCTCCAGAACCGTGATAAAGTAAGTTTCTAGTTTCTGCTGTTATTTATGTCATCTTGTCTATGTTGTTTCTCATTCGCTTTTTTTTTTTTTCCAGTGCTGGTATTGAATCCAGGCAAAAGCACCACTCCCAGGCAACTTACCCAGCATTCATTCTGTGGTATTTTGTTATAGCAGTGCTAGAAAATTAATACAGGGCTCATCTTTTGGCTTGGACTTATGATTACTTTTGGTGACACTTATTAGGCACAGATAACAACCTAAACACAAAACGACAGCAACATGGCTTAGCAGCACCATACATAAGACAGAATTGGAAGATTTGGTAGCAGGTGTGACCAATCTGAATTCACAGTGGGATGCAGCTACCAAAGTCAGCATTAGGTTTCAGACACAAATGAACCAGAACATATTTGGAGGAGAATAGCCAAGGTGTAGAAGTCACCAGAAACTATGCCATGTATCACACTGTTTTGACCAGGAATGTGTGATGGGGTGTATTTCAGTGGTGAGAAGAATAATTATTAAATCTAAGAGCTTTCACTTTTATAAGTGATAGACTCACTTTCTTTCTTTTTCAGTACTAGGGATTGAGATCAGGGGTGCTCTATCACTGACCTACAATTTTAAAAAGGTAATTAAGTTAATGAGGTCATTAGGGTGGTTTTAATTCAACCCCTTTAGACATTTTTATTTTTGAGACAGGGTCCCATTACATTGCCCAGACTGGCCTCGAACTTGTGCTCCTTAGCTTCACAAGTAGCTGAGATTAGAGGTGTGTGCCACAGCACTTGACCTCATTTCTATATTTTTAAATCTCATGCTCATTAAAAGTTCCTACTCTTAAAAACTGTTCCCTTCCTCCTGGGACTGGCTTTATGGGCCTGCAACCTGTGTCCTTCACTCAGAAGACTCTCATGCTTGGTTTAATGTTGGGCTGTCACCGTATTAAAATTTTTAATTTTGGGACAACAAATTCCACGTTTTCATTTGGCACCAGACTTGAGAAAATTTGTAGCTGACTTTGTTCCCCCCCATCTCTAAGTCACACTCCTCTGTTTTAGATGCCTTCTTTGCTCATACAAACCTCAGATAAACAGAATCGTGGTGGTGGGTACATGCATTTGGGAAGCAGTATGGTATGGAAGGTCAACAATTGAATTTTTTTTTCACCTTAGTCTTTCCCCTGCAGTCCCAACTGTGTGTGTGTGTGTGTGTGTGTGTGCCTGCGTGCGCTGGGAATCAAACCCAAGGCTTCTCAAATGAAAAACTGGCACTCTTGAGGATAGTCCCCAACCCCTGGCTTCCTGACTTATGAGTGGAAATAATCATAGTAATATCATAGCAATGTTTTCATTTGTTTTTGTAGGTGAATGACATAAACCATGAAAACATTGTGTAATATATAAATATATATAGTAATATATATATATATATATATATATATATATATATATATATATATATATATATATATTTATTTTAGGTCATTCAGGACAAAACGTAATCCAAGGGTCAGGGCCGAATGTATAGAGTAGATGCCAACATTTAGTCGAGCTGGCAGGTAAATGCTGACTTCTCAGAACAGAAGTGGGCAGCCTCTGGCTGAGCCATCACTCCACAGCGCAGGAGCAATGAGCAGGAGAGAGAAGAGGCCATTTGCAGTGAAGCCCTAAGAAGGGCCACAGCACTCCCTGGCTTTTTTCTCTCCCATCAGTCCCAAGTGAGCTGTGGCTTGGTGACAGACACCACTTCAGGCCAGAAAAGGGTATATCCGGGCAGTTCTAGACCATTGTACACTAACTGGACACTGGGCATTGTGCAGTTTTTGTTTATCTAGGATAAGTGGCTTTGCATAAGGTTCATTTCTGTAATATAGGACAGACAATGAAGAACAGGGCTAGAATTTGAGGTCGGAAGTCCTCAGTTACGGGATAGAACAAGAATTATCTCTTAAGATCTCTTCCGTCATAACTTCTACTTTATCTCCATCTGAGACGTTGCGTTCCTGCCTAATATATGCTCCCCAATTCCTATCTCCTCTAAACGCACGAGCGCGCACACGTAAATAATAAGAGAATAAAACATAAAAACTCCAAAAAACAAAAATATTGCTTTCCAGAAGGAGAAAATGGGTCGCCTGCTTCTTTCCCAGGTCCCGCGTCTATCTCCTTTCGATCGTTCTAAAGATAGAAATTCCATGTTGTTCGTAGCTGCTTTTGACGGAAAAAACCCCGAGATTTTTGCTTTCTCAACAAGCAAAAAAATCCTGTTTCCTTTAAGCGTCGATTGCTCCTGTTCTCTTCCAGAAAGGCTTGCCCCACCTCTCCGAACCCAGACAAAAACTGAAATGCGGATAAAAACGCACCCCAGCAGCAGCCCTATATACGATATCCCAAGAGGCCTGCGGGGTCGCATGATTCAAGCTCACGGGGACGAGCGGGGAGCGCTCCCGACTTTTCTGGAGCCCAAAACGTCCTACGACTCACCTTTCCCTGATCCTGCACGGTCCCTCCCCTGGCCCCAGACTCTCCCTCCTGCGGTTCCCCGAGCCCTGGTGGGCGGTGGGGGGTGGGCCAGGGAGGCGCGTGGGGAGCCAGAGGCGCCGCACCTGTGGGCGCCGGAGGCGCGGACCCCTCCCGGTGCCAGCGGGCGCAGCTCCGCGGCGGCTCCGCTAGGGGTCTCTCTCGGGTGCCGAACGGGGTGGGCCGGATCAGCTGACTCTCCGGGCTCCGAGCCCTGCCGCCGCGCTCCGGCTCCGTCAGTTTCCTCGGCAGCGGTAGACGAGAGCACCCGGACCAGTGCGATCGCCGGGCCATCAGAGACGGTGGAGCAGACTCTAGCAGAGCAAGGGCGCGGCGGATCCCATTCGCACAGCAGCGCACTCGGTGCCCAGCGCAGGGTCGCGATGCTGCCCAGCTTGGCGCTGCTTCTGCTGGCCGCTTGGACGGCTCGCGCGCTGGAGGTGGGTACTGTGCCCTGGAAGAGGGGAGGAGAGCATGGTGGGGATGCGATTCCCCCCAAGTCTTTAATTTGAGAAGCAAGGAGCTGCTAAGAGTACCCTTCTCCCCGCCACCCCCGCTCTCGGGCCCCCTGCGCATCCCCGCCTCCGGCCCAGCCCTGCCCCGGGGACGCGCGCCCTGGTCAGCGGAGACGGAGCGGGCGAGGCGCGGGGCTCCCCTAGTCCCCGCCAGCTCTGGGCAATAACGGGAGGGGGAGTCACTGATCCCAGACCCTGACTCAGCCCTGTCTCGAGATCAAGGTCCAGGGAGGCGAGAGACATCCAGATGGGGGAGAAGGGGAAGGGAGCACGTGTGGAAAACCGAAAACGCAGAGTCCCCGGATCCAGTCTCGGAGTCTTTTTCAGTCTCTGCCCTTCCCTATCTCTCGGGCCCCCGGGTGGAGGAGTCGGAACCCCTCTGGAAGCTGGGGGTCTCCTGGCTTCTTTTTGATTATGCCACGCGTTTCACCTTCTCTTCCTACCTCCACCCCTCTTGCTCGCCTCCATCCCTGTTCCTGTTCGCGGTCGCTGGCGGTGGCAGCCTGCGAACAACCCTAGCTGGCGCTGGCGCCAGGGTCGCGCACCGCCTTCCGCAGGCAAACTTTGTACATTTCCGCGTCTCCCTTTTGTGTAAGTTGCGAGAGATGGGAGGGGTCGGAGACCAGCGGCCACTGCACCTTCCTTAAGCCCGGACGTCCCGGGCGTTTATTCGCACCCTCAAGCTTCGCCCAGCCAGGGAGAAAGTCCCCTGGAACAAAAGCGGCGGCACCCCGCCCTCGCCGTCCGGGGCGCGGTGGCTGAGCCGCGGTAGTCTGTGCGCCACCAAGGCTCCCTTCCCAGCGCCGCGCGTCTGCCCCAGAGGGGGCTGGGGCGCTGCCGGGGCCTCCCGGCGGAGCCTCGGGGTCGCTCTTCTTCACATCCTTGGATCACCACTGTGCTTTCATTCGTGCTGGGCTCTAAAGTCCTTGGGGAGAAATACCGGAGAGTGGGGTGCGCGACTGGAAAGGGCAGTGGCGGGTGGTGGGAAGCAGGATCTCACCCCTCCTGGGCATCAAAGGGGACGTTTGTCTGATTAAGGCGCGGCCTCCTCCCTGGCAGCTCTGGGGATTCTGGTTTAGACCCCCTGAGGGCGCAGGATGGTGGTCCGCAGGCTCCTTTTTTTAGGGTGCAGATAAAAGGGTTGAACAGAGTGAAGATTAAGACGGAGAAGATGGCGCCTCTGCAGTGCAGCAAAGAAAAGCTGTGTGGAGGCTGCAGCCTGGTGAAATCCACCCACCACTAGGTGTATAACAAGTCTTCCCCATTCACCCAACTCTGGAACATTCAGCTAACGCCTGAGCAAAAAGACTATTTTTCTTTTTATCTGAAGATGCTTGGAAGTTGTTTGCTTGACAGTTGGGGCAGAGGAGATTGTATTTCACATTGATGAGGTTCCTGTTAAGTATCTTACCATTTGCAACCACCCCTCCCCATTTTTGTCCCCTTCTCTCCCCCACCTCATAGTAATTTTCCAAAAAAGCAATTTCCGGGCAAGTGTTTTTCTGTAATTCCACGGAGACTGTACAGATTGTCACACCATTACAGTTTTTTAGTCCCTAATTTACAAGGTCATTGAACTTTTTTCCCTTCTGATTTTCATCCACAAGTGGCTCAGGAATCACCGGAGGGCTAGTTAAGACAGGCTGGTTTAGGAATCTAAGAATTTGGTTTTCCATGTTCTTAAAAGACGCATTTAATTAGGAAATGCTGATTGATGACTTAATATTTTGTTTGTGTGATGATTTTAATTTTCCTGAATTGTCTCACTACAAATTAAAAAACAGAAAAAAGCAATTAAAAACACACCATAACCTTTGTTTTGAGAGCTTTTGCCAAAACTTAAATATTTAACTTTCTTAAGCATTTTTTTTTCTGTATAAAAAGAGGTAACATGTAGGCAGATATGATTTGGATTTACTTTCTATTTGCTTTTTATGCCATCTTTCTGGAGATATTTCTCTGGTTATTATCACCTTTAAAGGGTGGAGATGAGATTGACTTTAGTACATTTTGCAAAGTGCTGGTAGAAGGGTAGGTAATTCACTCTAATGAGGTTTGAAGGGGATTTGTGAAGCTCTGTGTCACTGAACCAATGTAATTATGAGTTGACTATTGAAAATAGGTCTGCAGGTGGCTCTAAAAAAGAAACAAATGACAGCAATGATAATGGGGCCCCAGCTTGCAGGGAAGGGTTGTTATTCCCCGGGTTGATGCTTTTGTCTGGTGTATTGATTAGAGGCATGAGTTTAACAATCCTTGACATGCAAAATATTTATTTATTTATTTACTTAATCATCCATTCATTAATTTTTTTTCCCTGTTAGGTTTTGCTTTCCTGCATTAAAGGTTTCATCTAAACACAATTGTCTTGTGTTGGTATAGTGCTGATTCACAGATGCTAGAAACTTACTGCTACTGATGAGAACTGCCCTAAAGGTAGAATCCTGCACACAGAATAGTGAAGCTGAGATGGTTATCTACAAGGAGTCACCCTTTCTTGCTAATCAGTGGGAAGCCATGATAACTGGCAGGCTGCAAAAGCTACTCTCCTGTCACCCTAAGCAGCAAAGGACCCTGACTATTAGTACTGCAGAGAAGTTACTAGATGGAGCAGTTGTTCCTGGTCGGGATTGAGGAAATGAAAAGGAACATGTAAGACTACAAGGTTAAGTTAGGAATGACTAATAATGAAAGTTAGGAATGACTAATAATGACTGCTTAAAAAAAAGGCAAAGAAATGTGCTCAATTGAATTTTGGTTTCAAGGATAATGGAGAGGTTATTTTATGGTTAATCAATCTCCTTCTTGCTACAGGATCACTATTTTAAGTTATTGTTTATGGCATACCAGGAAGTTTTTTGTACAGTTATTTATATGATGATGTAGGTTGTCAGTTGCTGTAGAAATAAGCATAGCTTTTATTTGCCTGAAAAAGTGAATGAAAGAAGTTCAATAAAATTCTGTAGAAAGTACATTATTTCTGCAAATTTTATTGCCTTGAGACTTACAAAGCATCTTTGATTAATGTGTTTCTTTTAAAGTCTCTACCTTGGTATATCAATCATGTAAGCAAAGATAAACCTATACAAATGATCTGCAAGTGCCAAGCTTCAAGAATGTAAGGTTTAATTTCCTTGCATAATTCTCATTACTCACTGCCCTTCCCCATCACCCTGCAGTTTGTGGGGTAAATAAAACATGCTCATGATTATGAAAGAACTTACATGTTAAGTTCTAGAAAGAATACAGATTTAGCTGTGTATAGAGTGAAAGTGTTACAGGGTAAAAACCTATATTTAAGGAGTAAAGGAACAATGGATGAGATAATCCTGTAGTATTTCCTGGTAGTAACTTTCCGCCCAGGTTTGTATCCCAAGTCTGGGGCGTGGAGGCTAAGTCTGTACAGGTACGGTATTTGTTTACCTGCCTCTTTTTGCCTTTGCCAGAAGAGAGACAGATAGTCTCTCTCTCTCTCTCTCTCTCTCTCTCTCTCTCTCTCTCTCTCTCTCTCTCTCACTCTCTCTCTCTCTCTCACACACACACACACACACAAACAGGCTGGAATGTGTAGGCAGGGCCTTTATCTTCTATTCTCTGTTCCTTCTTTAGGGGTGAGCACAGTGCAGGATTGGACTTGATTAGTCTCTTCATCTAATCATTAGGGAAATTTTTACTGATTGACTTCTGGGGCCAAACCCAGTCTCTAAGCATTGATGATATTGCAGTGCTCCCAACCATCTTCTCCTTCACATAGCTTCCAGTCTTCGGGTAAGACAGATAAACAACAGACTCTATAAGTAGGCACATGAAATGTGACAGTTGCAGGGTATGCTCTGGAGAGGAGCAGGGAATTGGGAATAACGAGATAAGGGACTGAAAGCAGGATCGAGAAACCTATGGTGTGGGTATCTTCAGTAGTGCATTGACCAAGGCAGTACATGATGAAAAAGCAATTCTCTGGATAGTAATGAAGGGATGGGTAGAATTTTTTTTTTTTTTTTTTGCTTTTGTTTTTCCAAATGCTTCTAACAAGGAACATTATTTTATTAATCACAGGTTCTCAACCTTGATTGCACATTGGAATCATGGGGATTAAGATAAAAACAAAACAAAAACAAAACTCTTGTCAGGACTCCACCCAATGCAGCTAAATAAGATCCTTTGGAGCAATGCTTTGACATTGGCATTTGGAGAAAAAGAAAAAAAAAAACAAAAAACCTCTTTAGGTAATTCTTATGTGCAACCAGAGTTTTAAGACCAGCTACAAATTCACCAACATGAACTACTTGCAAGCTACTTTTGGGATCTTGAAGAAGGTCTCATCAAGTTGTTCTGAAACCAGAAAGACCAAGTACTGCCAGGAAGGCTCAGTAGAGCAAGGAATATGGAGAAAGGCAAAAGAAAACACAGGCCATTGTTAAGTGTTTTTATTTCTTTTCAAGCTGTCACACATTAACATTCTTCTTATAACAAGGATTACTAGTAAACTCCATTCATGGGGCTGGAAACTCATGTAGTGTCAGGGAAGAACTCACCCTTCACCTGGCACACTACCTACACTTGTGAGGTCATGGCCCGCAGTGGCCTCAGCTCCAAGCACTAACAGTTGCACAGTGTTTAGGTCTTTTGCTGGTGAGTTGACCTTTCTGTT